CCGCGCGCAGCCCAACGGCCGCCGCGCGCAGCTGTGGGGCGCGCGCCTCCGTTCAAAGTGGAAAGACGGAAATGTCCAAGCTGCCCCGTTATCCCCCTCGCCAAGAAGTGTCATGGCATCACTCGGACGTGGTGTGCCCTGCAGAGGAGCTGGGCTGTTCTCCACTAAGCTGCGGTCCCTGGTGAGGTTGGACCTACCTGGTGTGAACCCGGAGCTAGAGGGGCCCGTGCCTTGTGCTGGCTCCTGTGGGGATGGAGCCGAAGCAGCCCTGGTTGTCTTGAGTGTGGAGCATGAGGTGAAGTCTTTCAGAGATGCTGCTCTCCCCTCTGGGAATGTGAGCTGAGGGCAGTGGCACCTCTTGACACCCTGAGAGGACCAGTGGGCCTTGGTGCAGCAGTCCATGATATCCTAACGGGGCTGGTGGCAGGGAGCTGCTGTCCCTCCAGCTGCCTCAGCTCACCTGCTCCGGGACAGCTGTGCAGAGAGTGGGGGGGAGCCCACCCTTCTCCCCAGCATCTCCTTGGGATCAGGGCAGACCCTATCTGCATTTATTCATCGGCTTTTGCATGGGAATTTTTCCTGTTTGTGCTGTTGTTTCCTGCTTCCATTTGGACTGAAAGGGTCCCTTCTCCCCAAGGTCTCCTTGGGATCAGGGCAGACCATATCTGCATTTATTCATCAGCTTTTGTATGGGAATTTTTGCTGTTTGTGCTGTTGAGTTTCCTGCTTCCATTTGGACTGAAAGGCCTGAGGTGGAAGCACTCTCCTCTGATGAGCTAACTTTTGCAGACAGCAATATTTTAAGTATTCAAGAATGCTGAATGACGAGGCTCTGGACATTTGTTTGGATATTGTTAAATCAGGCACTTGAGTCCAACAATTTACAATTCGAGCCTTTCCCTCAATGCCTGGCTCTGTTTAAACGACGTGGTTTTGGAGGTAAGGACAGGGTTTCCAGTGCCCAATCACCAAGGTTTGTAGGAGCTCCCACTGCTGAGTCCAAGTCCATGCTGGGAGGCACGGGGAGCAGGATACAATCCGTTCCCAAGGCGGGCAAGCCAAGCCTGGCTGTGCTCACGTGTCCGAATATCTCCATGACCCAGCTTGCAGAATGCAATATGTGTAACAGAACAGATCTGCATCCCAACCTTAGCACTAACTCCACATTTGCAAACACTTTCCATATTGGGAAGTTCCTCACTGTACTACAAAAAAATCAAAGCTACTGTGTTTTCTTAAAGAAAAATATTAATTATAAGGCCAGGTCTTCACTCTAGCAAAAATGACAATGAAGTCAACAGGGATTTTGCCAAGGGATAGAGACAGCATCAGGTCCGTCTGACCCTAAGCATGGTTTCCCCATGAGGACTATGTGGGCTGCTTGAAGGGGCTTTCAAGCCACCTTGCATGCTGTGCTTGGACTCCTTTCCTGGCCTCCAGAAGAAAGAGGGCAATCTCCTATCAACAGCATCAGGATCAGTGACTCCTTTTTACAGCAGGCAAATGAGAGATTCGCATGCTATTCTCTGAAATCTTTCAAACAGGTAAAAAGAACAGAGAGGGGATGGGTCTTCCTCATAAAAGTCCTAGTTTCTGTACTGAAGCACATTTAATTTACAGGTGCTACCCTGATGGATAAGGTTAAGAAAAGCTTAAGAGGTGGAAGAACAGAAAGGGTTTGTTTTGCCCACATGGTACCACGTCACTGCTGAAAAGGATCTTACAGTGAGAGCACTGACCCATGCCCACACCGGCTGCTGGTGGCAGGATGTGATGTGGCAGTAGCGAGGTGTGCACTGCTTGCTAGGCACTGGGCTCCCAAGTTGCCTCCCAACCCCGTCCCACTCCTTAGGAAAGCAGCACCTGGGCCCTCAGCTTGTCTCTTCAGCATCGCTGGTGTGACAAGCCAAGCCCACAAGCACAGCGAGGACAGGGCCAGGCTCTGTGTGGCCATGCAGCTCACGGGCAGACTCATCTTACTCTCTAACATGCCCCAAAGCTCACCACCAGCCCATTCCCAGGCATGTTTATGCCTCCAGGTTGCTCGACAGCCACTCTGGACCAAGCTCCAACCTAAAATGACGTCTGAAGAGGGAAGGGTTGTGCAGGCCTTGTCACAATAGTTGTGGAACCATGAGAGCTAATTCCAGTCACAACACAGGATCCTGTTGCTTTCTCTGTTATAAACCAGTTATAAGCTACAGAGACTTGACAGTCTCTTGATTCTGTAGCATGGAGGACAGCTGCATTTGTTCACAGCTGTATGTGTGAGTGCCATTTTTAATGTGATAACTGCAGTGTTTGCCCTGCGGAGTGGCTTTGACTCAGTCTCTCTATCCTTTGTAGATAGTAGGAATATCTGCCCCTGGCATGACTCAATATCTCAAGCCCTGGAAAAGACATCTGAGATGTCTGTAAGACAATGTGAGGCCGTGTTTAATCATGGGTGCTGTGTTGTGAGGTAGGCTGATTACCCTCATCGATAGTGTGTGGATCAAAGCACCCAAGGCAGGAATAAACAAACATCTCTGGCACCAGGCACATCTCCCACTAGCCGAAAATCAGGTGTGTGTGGAGGGGGTATTGCATGTTTTACAGCCGCTTCCCTGAACTCAACCCTGATGTTGCAAGAATCTCCGAGCTGTGAAAACATGGCCTCGCCTTGATTTATGCCACTTGTGGGTAAGATGACTAAGTTTCAAAAAAAAAAAAAAAAAAAAGGCAGAACAGGAACAGAAATCCCAGTGGGAGCGAGATGCGGGTGTGTACCAATTTGATGAGACAGGCAGGTTGTGAAAACTCCAGCCAAATTTCCAGGCGGTAGAAAGAGGAGACCACAAACCACAAGATATCTATCACAATGTTCCACCTAAGACTCAAAAGCATGCCACGAACTTTTATGAAGACTCTCAGTAACAGCAAGGGAAATTAATTCTTTTGTGTAATTTTAACATTTTTTCTCCTTTAGATGAGTTCCATATGTCCTTGTGATTTTTTTCCTTTAAACACAGCAGTTTAAAATGAAACTTAAGTAGCATTTAGCTTGCTTCTAAAACAAATATTTACAAAAACATAAAATAATGGCTCTGATCTTCAGAAGATGTATACTGCTCCCTACCTGCTACTGTTTTTTTTTTTTTTTTTTTTTTGTAGCTGGAGTAATAGAGATGCTGTGTAATAAACCCCAGGGTTGTAAATGCAGAATAACAATGTGATTAGCAGTAATCAAATGGGAAATTCTAGCTATTAAAAACTATGCAGAGATAAGAAGGATAAACTGAAAGGAAAGGCTACACTATTTTGTTTTTACAAAATTCTAGAAATCTAATGGAGGAATAGGCTTTTAATCTTACAAAAGTATCATTTTGTGAAGGAGCATAATGGTATTAGCTGATGCTTATGTCACGTATCATCTTCAAAGAGCTCTACGAAATAAATACTAATCATTTTATCAACCACTTAGAGGCAACCACTTGAGGGGTGTGGTGAGGCACGAATTTAGCAAGTAAGTTATATTAAGACAGGAAGTGAAGACAGCCAGATTCACAAAGAAGTCAGTGTGGGTACAAATTTGTGGAGGCTTTAACAATATCTTTAATCAGGCAAGTGACCCCATGGAATCAGGGCAAATTTAATTTTATTGAGAAACTGCACTGGAACTTATAATTACAGTGAGTTGAACAGGTAAAGAGGGATATTAGTAGATCTTAGAGGAAACAGCCTGTGAGGGATCAGTATTTGCAGGACGTGAAACTTTTTTTATCAGAGCACGTTCCTGTTATCTCTTCTTATGTTTTTGCCTTCCTCCCAGGAAAAAATACAATATTGTTGACCTGCACCATATCAGAAATTCTCAGTCTCTGCCACCATATATTTGGTTTTGAAGACTCTCAAAGCAGCCAGTGGATTTCAATCTCTGCATTTCTTTGCTTCTCCTATAAGTGCATACTGTTTGGCCCACTGACTGCCAAAAGCTGTCCTGTGTCAGAACGCAACATTTCCTTCCTCCTTTACCCATGACTGAAGCTGAAGATATCTTCTGCTCCCTGCAGAGATGGCAAACAAGAACCACTCCTTCTGTACTCTGGAGATCACTGAATAATTTTGATTGGAAGGAAACTCGGGAGATCTCTGGTTCTACCATCTGTGTCCAGAGCAGGATTAACATCTATTTTGCATCATGTTGCTCAGGTCTAAATAAGATACTAATTAGACTTCTCTGCTTTCTAGTGCACATGTGCCATTATAAGTAACTGTCCTGGACTCAAAAACTAGCAAGCCTAAAATCATGCCATAACCTGTATCTGACTCGATTCCTGTGCTCTGATGTGTCTGGCAAATACGTTTTTTTTTCGTACAACAAACTGATTTTGACTCTAGTAGTTGTATTCTCATATAATGCCATTTTTCAGTTGTGAATTCATGATTCAAAATATGTAGTTGTTAGAAAAACAAGTCTCCACCCACTTAGGGCTGTCACACTGGAATTGTTTAGTTATCACAACTCTTTTAACATGATTTTTGTCTTTTTGTATGTATTGCAACCAATGCAATGTAGTCATTGTAATCGGTCTTATTTTTCCTTGCCTGCTTGTCCTTTTGTGTCCAAATCAGTGTCATCTGTCTCTGTCTCAGGGACAACCAATCTGATTCTTGCAGCAACTCCTCTCTTTTTCTTAACACCCTCCCTTCTAAGGAGTAGTTACGAAGTTTGCAGCCCAACCAGCATTAACAGCTTGTATTACACTTTGCAAAGTCTCACCTTGTGCTGTGGCCTCTGCAATGACAGACCACATCCTGCCTGGGACTAGGCGTGTAAATACACTGAAGAAAACCGCTCCCAGCATCAGACTCCGGGATGCATTCTCCCTCTGTATAAAGTTTAGTCTGAGTACGTGTGTGTATATAATGTTACATATGCACACACCTAGGAAGGTGTATGTATCTGTGTGTGTGTCTGTTTATGTATATTGTATGTGTTTATATATATATGTGTGTATATATATGTGTATATATATAAGAAATGTGTGTATATACATATACAAAATGATGGGATAGGAGAGAGTTGTTAATGCTCCGTTATATGCTTTTCGGCTCTTTTTTTGTCCCCATTCTCTGAAAGATATTCTGGAATTGTGCCCATGAAAGGAGAAGAAGCCTGTCGTTCTGTCCTTTTCTACTATAGGTATCTCTGTATCCTGTATCTCAGAGATCTGCTTTCTGGTACATAAGCCCTGGCATTCGATCCCAACTATTCAATCCTTAAAATACATTAAGTCAGAAAGACTAGGAAAAAGCATCTGAAAGAAACTTATACACCCAAACTGGGATAATCACACTGCTGCATATCAAAAGCTGCAACTGTTGCTTTAAAACAATTAGATTTTGTTTTCACAGCCTTG